CACAGGGCCTCTTTGCTTTTCTGTAATATTTTTATATTCATACGGTTGATACATGGAATAAATTAAGAGAGCAAAAGCGTTTCCTAAACTGTAGAGTGCTCCGCATGTGTGAGGAGTATCACTCTTCTCAGCAGGCGTCTGTCATCAGCCTCTGCCTGGGCCAGTGGCATGACCTCTTCTGTCTCCACGTGGAAGCCTTGAAGCTGCCTTCTAACGCTGGAGCGGTTCTCGAGGCTTCTTTCCTGGGAACTGGACTTTGGAAGTGGTCGGATTCCACACTAGTCGTTTCTTCCTCTTTCCTGGCAATATTTATGAGAACTGACCTTCCAATGGAAATTTGGCAAGATTTCATATTCTGGAGACATTGTACCTTCCTCCACATGCCCCGAGGGCCAAGGTCATGGGCTTCCCAGAAGATGTAGCCGTTCCCACAGATGCAGAAGGTGCAGAGGACTGAGAGGAAGAGTTCCAGAGCTGCAAGTTGGTCCTGAGATGATCACTATTGTCATACCCCCATCCTTCACTAGGATGCAAGCTCAGGAACTTGCCTCCCCAGTGGCTAGAACAGCATAGGTACAAGTAGGTGCTCAATGTATATTTGTTAAAGGAAGTGAATGGATGACTTCAAGAGCTTTCAGAGGTACTTCATGGTACCCATGGGCCAATGCCCTGAAGGTCATGGCTCACAGACACTGAAGGAACACACTAGGCAAGACATTTAACCACCATCCGGGGCTGCTGTTCAGCACTGTGTCCTCCCAGGTCCAGGCCACAGAGATGAGCTTCTGTCAGGAGGCCAGGGTTGGGAGTTGTGAAGCCTTGAGGGCTTAGGTGTTTTCTGGGGTCAGAAGAATGGGGACAGAGCCCTTGGCTACAGCTATCAAGGCTCCTTGCTCAAAGGTGATAAAATGTGTCTCAGAGCTGCTGCCTGTCCCCTAAGTGGTGGGTTGTGAGTATCCTTCAGCAAGTGCTGCCCTGGTCATGCGGGTCCCAGGCTCCCAGGCCAGGTGCTGAGATGTACATCTGAGAATAAGACATGTTAGCAGCCTGTAAGCAGCTCTCTCTCCATGGCCCTTCAAAACAATAACCAAACAAAGCACACGTATTCAAGATGTCCTCCACAAATTCACACACAGATACACAACCAAACAGCAGTAAAAACAGCCCCAGCTGAGCCTGTAACAGAAGCCAGCATGCAAGGCCGACTTGACAAGCACCACCAGCTTCAGTGTGGTGTTCAGGGCTCAGGCCTGGGGACCCAGGCTGCAGAAGCTGGTGCTGGCTGCCCCACCTTGCCTGACCCCAGACTCCCCTCTTGACAACAGCAAGGGGCCCCAACCCAGGCTCATTCCTCCACCAGGATCTGGGCTCTGGGGTCTGAAGAGAACACATCTTATGCTGCCTGTCCCTTTTTGTCCTTCTGATGGAAAGTGGGGCCTCCTACCCCAATTAGGCACAGACCCACCCAGCAAGAGGAGGGGCTGACAGCTGTGGGGGGGGGGAGTCAGGATTCTGGATCTTGTAAATCCAGACGTCCTGTAAACTCTGACCAGAGTATAAACATCCCCTGGGACCAAGGGGAGGAGGTGCTGGTGGGCAGGGGGCCCGGCGCCTCAGCTGCCCTGGGGACAGGCTGTTTATTCCATGTCTCCCAGCAGCTCCCTCTGGCTTCTTCCTGCCCCAGGTTTGGGCAAGTGAAGCCAGGCTGGACAGGCGTCCATGGGGCCTGGGGTCATGGACAGATCTGGACCGAGATCTCAATGCTGGAAGGGAACTTTTAAAGCTCAAGGAGCCCAACCCCTTCCCTGACCTGCACAGCCCTCACAGTGCTCCCGACTGGTCTTCCAGCCTTTGCTGAAACACGTGGGCCGATGGGAGCTCACTCCTCCAGGGCAGTCCATTGCATTCCTGGGTAGCTCTGGCAGCTAGAAGGTTCTAGAGTTGAACTGACAAGAATTGTTCTCTGCCACTTGATTGGGCAGAACTAAGAACAATAAAACAACTAAATAAGAGTAGAGTCATTCCCTGAGGGCCACATTGTGCCAGCAATTAGCATGGTCTTGCTACGTCATCCTTTGAGGCCTAGACTCAGGGAGATTAGGTCACTTGTTCAAGGTGACCCAGCTGCTATGTGGCAGGGCTGGGGTGCAGGCTACTCTGGTCGAAGTCTGTCCTTTAAATATTAGTCTAAACTGGCTCTTCACAAAAATCAAAGAACAAAAATAGCACCTATGCCCACCCGAGTACCACACCACAAACACAGGCACACATAAAACCAAGCCAAATCATAATAAAAACAGCCTGAACTGGTCAAACATTAAGTACCTTTATGTAAAAATGAAATGCGTGTTCTAGAGAGAACTGATCTCCCCAGCCTGAAGGGAGGTACCCAGCAAAGACCTTTCAGAGGGATTCCTGCCCTGGGTGGGCCTGCATGAGGCATCTCCTGCCTCTGGTGGTCTGTGGTCCCTTTTTGTCCTTCTGATGGAAAGTGGGGCCTCCTACCCCAATTAGGCACAGACCCACCCAGTGAGAGGAGGGGCTGACAGCTGTGGTGAGGAGTGTTAATGGTGCACTTGGTCCAGTGTTGGGTCAGTCTGCAACCCCAAGCACTTGGTGTCTTCACGGCGGGATATGGGCAGAAGGGTGGTCTCAGCACCATCACCAGAGAGCCCCACCCCAGCTCCCGCTTCTTGACTTCCCCCTGCGCCTGGCCCTGCCACAGGATCCCACCGCTGTGGCAGCCCCTCGGCACATCTCAGGGGCCGCCCATTCACCCAGGCCTTTCCCTTTTTTGAGAACTGGGAGCTTGCTGGCTGGGACTGTTCCCACCAACAGTGTTCCCGTCCAGGGAGCTTAAAATAGCCCCTCTTGGCTGGGGCTCTCGAGTGAGCAGTGAGGCAGGCATTTGTGCAAATATGGGCCTGGAAGAAGGACTTCTACAGGGAGGGAGGGTGGGCAGCGGGGCAGAGGAGCCAGGACCTCCTGGGGGATGCGCCTTCCTGACCACAGCCAGCAAAATGCGTCTGCTAGTTGGCTTCTGCCTCCTCAACCTTACTGGGTCCACTGGGCAAGGTTTACACCCACACCCTCAGGTCCTCCTAGCCTAGCTGAGCTCTAGGGTGGGCCCACCAAATAGAGGTCTCTGCATTCTTCCACTTAGCCTCCTCCATACCTATCTCATAATGCCCTTCCTACTTAGGAAGCATCCTACCCTTCAGAAGCATCCTCAAAGGCTACTGACAAGGCCACCATTGAAGTGCGCACTCACTTTTGTCAGGTCCTTGAACATGCATCATCTCACTGGACCCTTGCAGTAATCAACTGAGAAACAAGCTGTGATTATTTGCATTTTTTTTTTTTTTGGTGGTGCTGGGGATTGAACCTCACATACATCAGGCAGGTGCTCTACCTCTGAGCTACATCCCCAGCCCCAAGAACCATGTCGTTATTAACTCCACTGAGCAGAAGAGAGAAGTGGAGTAATTTTCCCAAGGTCACACAGCTGTGAAGGGGGTAGGAACAGTACTGAGACTCAGGTCTGTTAACCTGAGGATGCTGAGTACCTCCACACCTCCACCAGGGCTGCACCTTCTCCTCTGAGCTTCCACTGCTCTGGCCTCTCCCCTGTCATCCCAGCATCATCCTCTGGTATTAGAGCTGGTTTGATTGAATGTACCAAGTATTTAGTGAGTCCTTTCCACATGCCAGAAAGGCTGTGGCTGTGGCGTCCACAGTCTGGGAGCTGTCAGACTCCCCTCCACTCCTCAGGACTCTAACTTGGCCTTAGGCTTGGTGAGGCCAAGGGTGTTGGAGGATGTTGGTGTGAGGTTGGTCATCCTCAAGGGCCAGCGAACCAGTGGGACATCCTGCTCTCTGGCGGCAGTGCCCACGGCAGGGAATGACATGTGCAGGGTCAAACTTGCCTTGCATATTCTGGGACTTTTTGGGCAAGTGATTAAGCAAGCTTCTGAACCTCAGTTTCCAACCCAATCATAACTGTGGGATGAACTAGGACCGGTCCCCTGACAGAGCCATGGAGAGGATTTAGAGAGAACACACATGAAGGAGTCAGCTCTGGCCTGGCAGACAGTAAGTAGATGGATGTTAAGCAGCAACGGTTATCATTGCTAGCTGTTATTTTCTGGAGATCACAGTGTGCAAGTGCCAAATACTGAGCACCTAGCACATAGTAGGTGCTCAAAGTAAAGAGGGTTACTCACTCAGCAAGCACCCTGGCTGGCCGGGTCCTTCCTGCTCCGACGTGGGAGCTGGTCCTCATCTGCAGAAGGACCCCTAGGAAGCCAGAGGCAGGCACAGGGCCCCTACCCTCTAGCTCACCTCATTTTTAGCTCCAGGGCCCACTCCAGGCTACAGGGAAGGGGTGGCTGGCTTGAAAGTCCCATCAGGGTTTGCAGCGCTCTTTGGGACTGTCTGGCTTTCTGGTGGCGCCACCTGGTGGTGAGTGCTGCACCGCTCTTGATGAGGTTTCCAGCAAAACAGTCTCTCAGGAACACCCACTGCCCACCCATTCACCACCGTTCTTCCCTGGCAGGTGCTGTCCACCTCCTGTGCCTCAAGAGCAAGGAGTCTGGCCTCCCATGTGAGGCCTGGCACTGGCCTCTGGGGCTGGGTCCCATGGCCTGCCAATGTTCACACTCAGGACCTCTCTAAGGGAAGATGATCCTTTAGTGGTTTCTCAAAGCCAAGGCTGAAAGAAGGCTCTTCCCTGGCCTGCGATGGCCCAGGACTCAGAAGTCCAACGATAGTCCTGGGCACCTGTCTGGGAACCCATGATGAGGGGTCTGTGCCCCCCGAAGGACTGGCCCCCTCTAGACCAGCAAGTCTGGCCCAGGGCTTTGATATAAACTTGAGAGGGGGGAACAGTGAATAAAATGAGCAGACGAGTCTGCACCCAGCTGTGCACAGCACACGGTGTGATCCTGGGCAAGGCCTTCCCACTTGTAGTGAAGTGGGCAGCAGGGGCTGGATGAAGGGTGAGGATGCCTGGAGCTCCCAGACCAGGCTCAGGGTGAAGTGCAGATTCCTGGGTCTCCTACGTCAGACTCTCCAGGGCTGCGATCCTGGAATCTCTATGAACATTAACACTGCAGCTGGCCGCTGGGGAGGCTGCTGGGTCCTGGCTTTGGAAGGCAGAAGTAAGGGCTGTGTATGCCAGCAGGTAAGGAGATGGGGGCTTCAGGGGTCATGAAACGCAGAGCAACCCCTATCTTTCAATTTCCCTACCCTTACGTGGACCCGGGAGGGTCTCGGAGCTGCATGCTCACGGGGCCCTGAGAAGGGTAGTAAAGAATACAACCAGGATGGCCCATTGGTCTCCTCAGCCTGGTCCTTTCACTTGCCCAAAGGACAGTGGCAGAGGGGTTGGGACAGCCAGGGCTGGGGTGGGTGGCCCTTGTTGCCCAAGGAGATGCTTTCAGAATCCCCCTCCCTCTGGAGTTTCCAGCCGCAGAACACAGCCCTGTCTAGTATTTGACCAAATATGGTGGTATCTCTCGAAGGGCTCGAGCCCCAGCCAGCTTCTCAGTTATGCTGTGGAAACCTGCCCTGGACAGATTAATCTTGTGACATTCAGGAGCGCTTCTCGTCCTGCCTTCTTCCCCTTGCCAATTCCTGTAAATGGCCAAGATGAGTCCTCAGCAAGACAGGGCAGTGCTGGCGGTCTGTCCCGGCAGCCCTCCCCTGCTCTTCGCCGCCCCCCACGCCTCTCTGTGTGGGTTCACTTGCTCGCTCACATTCGGCTGGCCTGTTCCCTCCAGGTGAGAGACCTTGGCATGTGAGTCCAGGACCTGGGGACTCTGGGGTCACCTGAGCTCATGAAATTGTGGCCTGAGTCTGGGAGGGCTTGAGCTCTCTCAGCCAAGAGGATGGGCCTCAGGGACAGAAGGCTGTTGGTCAAGTAATAAAAACCATGTCAGCTCTAATGCTAATCAGAAGAGCTAATGTTTATAAAATCACTTTATAATAAAATTTTCATTGAGGGGCCCGGGTTGTGGCTCAGTGGTAGAGCGTTTGCCTAACATGCGTGAGGCACTGGGTTCGATCCCTGGCACCACATAAAAAATAAAAACAAATAAAATAAAGATACATCTACAACTAAAATATTTTTTAAAAATATTTTTTATTGAGCACTTACTATGTGCCAGGCTCTGTGCCAGCTATTTAACATGGATCATTTCATTTATTCCTTCTGGAAGCCTCAAGGGCTGGATGCTACGATTATTCCCATTTCAGAGATGTGGGAACTGAGGCTCAGAATGATATCAAGGAGGAATCTCCAGGTCACTGTCTCTTCCTGGGCATAACTCCCATTTTACAGAAAAGGTTGAGAGAGAAGGGGGCCTCCCAAGCAGCCACACAGGGAAGGCCCAGGAGTGGAGACCTTGCACATGTGAGGGGAGTGCTGCATTAGGAAGGCCAGTTGATCAACTATAGAGTCCTTGTGGATCTGCCACCGGCCTGAGCGAAGCACCCAGGCTCAGAAACACATTCACAACAGGCTGGAGTTGTGCAGAAAACATACCCAAACAGCATGGGGTGAGGGATAGAGTTCCAGACCAGAACCAGGCACAAACCCCAGCTTATTTCCTCCAACTCACCGTGTGACACTGGGCAGATCCCTTCTTCGAGCAGGCCTCAGTTTCCCTGACATCCGAGGCTGGCAGAGGCTGAGAGCCTGGGACGGTTTCCCGGGGAGGTAGGGCCAGCACTCTCTCTGAGAACATTTGCTCTCTTGACCAACCGGCAGCCCATCCCTCCTCCACCCTCACCCCCTTGCCATCCCCAAAGCAAACGAAGCTGATTGTCTTAGCTGGCCTTGTGGGTGCTGGCCGGGCGGCCAGCCGCAGGCCACAGGCGGAGGTGCCACCAGCCAGAGCCCCGCCAGACACACAGGGCATTGTCCCTTGGTCAACAGCCCCTGGGCACCTCAGCCCAGTGCCTGGCCTGCCCCCCACACACCTCACCGCCTGCCCTGCGCTAGACCCAGCCAGCTGGGGGCCCAAGGCTCCAGCTGATGATGAGCCCACCCACCCACTCCCCCAGCAGCCCCCTGTAGAGCTATAATTGCTGCGCTCCGTCCTGTTGCTGCCATTCTCTCCACAGCGGCATCTGGGGTTCCAGGCGGGCAGCAGCTGCAGGCCGCCGACGGCCCGGGATGGACTGGCCACACAACCTGGTACGTGGCGCTCCCAGCCCCACCCCCACCCCGTAGGGCCTGAGTGCTTTAGTATTTCTTTCCTATTGATTAATGACTGCCTGTGTTTGGCTTGGACTCTGTGGAGGTGAGCTCTCCCTCTGTCCTCCCCTCCAGGACGAGAGAGAAACAGAGCTGGTCTCAGAGCCTGCAGGCATGGCTGGCCACTCCGACTCCTGCTTAGGGTTCGGCCCCTCCACACTGACGCTCTTTCAGGCAGGGGCATCTGGGGAGATCCTGGCAAACTCAGTCACTGGGGTTTTTTCCAGGCCTGGGATCCAGGGGAGCTGTGTGACCTTGGGCAAGTCCTTCTGTTTCTGTTTCCCATCTGGAAAGTGAGGGAGGGGGACCTTGGGTCTCCTCTGGGTTTCTCTGGGTGGACAGCCAGAGTTAAGACTGCCATGCGAGGAGCTCAGACGAGAGAAACATTTTTCTGCTCTAGAATCTAGAACCAAAAAGAAGAATGTAGTGACTTGAACCTCTTTTGCAGATTTTGTGCCAGGGAATGGGTCCCCCAAGAGGGCCTGTGCTGAGACTTGTTCCCCAGGGTCAAGCCTTGTTGGGTAGCCTGGGCAAATCTGACCTGGATCCTGTGGGCTGGGGGAGGGCTGCAGGGAATGTGTGGGGCCTGGCTAGATTCAGGGCCGAGACTCCCTAGAAGTCAGTCTATTCTGGAAGCTCTGCGCCCCACCCAGGTTCCCGGGGCCTGTTTCTCCCTGGCCTCCAGGGGAGCCTGGTTCTTCCACGTGAGACAGGCTTTCCTGACGTGCTGGTCCTGGGGAGGGAAAGTGGGCAGCAGAAGGCCAGGGTGGCCATGAGTGGGGCGGGGCAGGGCCGGTCACACAGGGGTCCTTGAGAAGAGGCCCTCCGGAGCCCTAGCCTGGGACTGGCGCATCTCCCCCAGTTCACCCCTGCCCCCTTCCTCCCACCCACTCTCCCTCAGCCTGTTTCCTTTCAGCAAAGCGCTTAACCAGCTCAGACCTCTCTCGTGCTCCCCTCCCTGGAAGACTGAGACTCGCTCTGCCCATGTCACAAGCCTCCCCTGAGTCCCCTGCCCAGGAAAGCTTGATGGGCCTGCTGCTCTGGCACAAGCTGAGAGGAGCCCTGCTTTTCTCCAGCCACCTCTGCACAGGCTGGTTCCTCCACTTGACACTAGCATTGTTTTCCCTCCAGGACTGTCACCCAGGGCAGGGTTGGTGGTGTCATCCATTCACTCATACCTGAGTTCCTAGCACCACAGATGCAAAGGGCCAGACTGACATAGTGCCTTGGAGAGTCTGTGCTCAGTGGAGGCCCAACATATAAAAATGTCACACATACAATTGTAAGATGACAGTCATGCACGTGACTCATGGATTATGAGAGCCAAGGAAGTCCAGAGGCATCCCTGAGGCGGTGACACTAGGTCCCACATGTGAGGGTGCAAAGGGGTTTAGAAGGTGAAGGGAAGAGGCAGAACTCTGTAGACAGAGGCCTGTGCAAAGTGCCTGTGGCAGGAGGGAACGAGGCCAGAACAAGAGATGGAAGACTGGGGCTGGAGCACGAATATGAGAGGAAGCCGAGAGGGGCCTGGGGGTTCCTAAGGGCAATGGGAATGGTGCTAGTGGGAGGTGACATTACTAAATTTGCATTTTAAACAGCTGTCCTTGGCCACAGTGTGGGGAGAATTGGTTGGAAGAACCAGAGGGGGTTTGGGAAGCCCAGCTAGGGGGCTGTGGAGCTGTCCTGGAAGCCCGGACAGTGCTGCAAATAGAATGGATGGGTGGGAAGATTTTTCCGAGGTGCCCTATTTTTAGGACTTCAAGATGGGGGGGGAGGTGTGACTGGTGCCCATCACGGGATGGGGTGCACAGCAAGCACCCGCAAACATGGGACCAGGCCAGGGCGTGGTAGGTGAAGGGGGCCCATTGCAGAAGCCTTTCTTCTTCCATCTCTGCTCTCTGGGCCCTGAGTCTTGCCCCAGAGAGAGACATGGTACTCCCAGGGTTGACCAGTGGCCTTCCTCCCCAGCTTCTCCTTCTGGTCATCTCCATCTTTCTGGGGCTGGGCCAGCCTAGGAACCCCAAAGGCAAGAGGAAAGGGCCAGGACGGCCTGGGACCCTGGCTCCTGGGCCTCACCAGATGCCACTTGACCTGGTGTCCCGGGTGAAGCCCTATGCTCGTATGGAGGAGTACGAGAGGAACCTTGGAGAGATGGTGGCCCAGCTCAGAAACAGCTCGGAGCCAGCCAAGAGGAAGTGTGAGGTGGACCTGCAGCTGTGGCTGTCCAACAAGAGGAGCCTGTCTCCCTGGGGCTACAGGTAGGTGGCGGCAGTGGCAGGCCAGATTTCTATTGGAGGGTGGGGGCCTTTGCCAACCCCAGTCATTGAAACGGTCAGAACTTTGGGTTCAGAAGTCGGCAGTCTGGGTTTGAACCTGGTTCTGCCCCTCACCCGCTGTGAGGCTTTGGCCCAGTTCTAGTCTTTCCAGGGCTCAGTTTCCCCAACTGTAGCAGAGATGATAGTAGCACTCATTTTGCAGGCTTATTATATGCATATCCATGCAGAGCACTGCCCTTACTGTCCCAGCTGAAGTGCCTGCAAGGCCTTCCCCAAGTGTCACTTTGTCCAGCAGCCTAGTGCCTGGCGCACAACTGTCAGTGGCCATGTTGGTGGCTGGGCTCACGCCTACCTCTCATGCCAAACGGGGACCTCCCTAATGCCTGCACCAGGATCACCTAAGGGCTTCCATGCCCCAGCCTGTCACAGTGTCCGGGACTCAGGCCAGAATATTTATCTACATAGAGTACGACACACAGCCAGGTTTTGACTTGGGAATCCACCCTGCTACCCTGGGTTCTTACCGTGGATAGAGCCTCACTCCCCAGCTCAGAGCCTGCACATGGAAGGGACCACTATAAAGGTACTGAGTGAAAATAAAGAAACAGGCTGGTCCTCAAGAGTCCTCCATTCAGTCACATGGTTTATCTCCTGAGACCCCAGGACAGCACTCTGGACTTCAGTGATGGTAAAAAAAATCTCATATATGGTAGCCACTGGCCTCAGGTGGCTATTGAGCAATTGAAATGTGGCCAATGAGACTGAAGAACTAATTTTGATTAATGTCAATGTATGTTGGCCATACATTGTACTGTGGCCAGTGGCTACAGTATTGGACAGTGCAATACATTATAGCCAATGTACTGTGGCCACTGGCTACAGTAATGGACAGGGCAATCCTGGAATGGGACTATTGGGCAGGACGTAAGGATCCTCCAGAGTCTGGCTTCCCTCAATTTACTGGGCCCATGAACCAATCAGGGAGCTTGTAGAAATGCAGGCTCTGGTTCAAGGGGTTCCGTGTTTCTAACAATGTCCCAAGCATAATAAGGTGATGCTGGTGCCAAATGTTCATAGGTCTAGTTCACCCATCCCCCATCCCCGCTTAATGAAGGCAACAACTAAGGTACAGAGGAAAGTTCCAGCAAGTTCCTCTAGGTTCCATGAGAGCACCAGGAAGGGGCTCATCTGTTTTATTCAACAAATATTTTAAAAGCTCAGGACAGAATTGCTTACATGGTGAATCTGTAAAATGTGTTAAATGAGTGGAGACGGAGCCTAAAGTGTACTCAGCTGCCTTGACTTCTCTTCTGCTGGAAAGTCACATCAATGGGTTCCCATTTTATTTCTGTAAGTTCCTCCCAAATATAAAAATAGGGTGGGGAAGCAGAGGAGGGCTCTTAGGCCTCTCTGTTGTACTCACAGCACACTATAGTACAGGGATGGGCATCTTGCTGGATAGAAGGAAGCGGGTGACTGGTGACCTTGACCTGGATAGCTTCTAGGACGGAGGCTTGCCTTCCTTCCTGATGGCATCTCCATTTTCCTCACCAGAAACGTGAGTTGATTACCACGCTTCCTTCCAGCGCAGCACAGTCTTGCTGTAGAAATCAAAACTTTGGTTAGGGCCAGGCCGGCACAGCAGCAGCTTTTAATTTCAGCGACTGAGGCTGAGACAGGAGGATTGCATGTTCAAGGCTAGCCTCAGCAATTTGGCAAGTCCTTGTCTCAAAATTAAAAATAAAATAAAGGGCTGGGGATGTAGTTCAGTGGCAAAGCACCCCTGGGTTCAATCCTTACTACCTAAACAAACAAAAAGCAGCAACAACCAAAAGCGAAGGTGGGGGCTTGGGGAGGGACATCGTTTGCTCATTTGTGACCGCACCTTCACCTTGAGCTCTGCCTGCTCGCTCCCCGCAGCATCAACCACGACCCCAGCCGCATCCCCGCGGACCTGCCCGAGGCCCGTTGCCTGTGTCTGGGCTGCGTGAACCCCTTCACCATGCAGGAGGACCGCAGCATGGTGAGCGTGCCGGTGTTCAGCCAAGTGCCCGTGCGCCGGCGCCTCTGCCCGCCACCGCCGCGAACCGGGCCCTGTCGCCAGCGCGCGGTCATGGAGACCATAGCCGTAGGCTGCACCTGCATCTTCTGAACCTTTGGCATCAGAAGGCAGGCCGGCTGCTGAAGTCCGCCTCCCTGCACCCCGCGACTGCAAGGCTGATGAAAAGTAAATGCTGTCCTCTGTAAAGCAAGACTTTGGGTTTGCTGCTTGCGGCTCTGAAGCCCAAAGTGGGATGGGGCTTGGCCATCCCCGGAGGCTCAACTTCCGTTCAGTATAAAGGAGGATTTTCCGTCACTCTGACTCCTTTAACTCTGAGATAGGCTATTAAACACTTCATTCAAGCTGGACCTGGTGGCACTTGCCTGTAATCTGAGGCTGAGGCAGGAGGATCCCAAGTACCAGCCAGCCTCAGCAATTCAGCAAGGTCTAAGCAAGTTAGCCAGACCCTGCCTCAAAAAAAAAAAAAAAAAAAAAAATTGAGGACTGGGGATAAAGCTTAGTGGTAAAGTGTTCCTTGGGTTCAGTCACCAGTATTAAAAACAAAACAAAACAAAAAACCCACAACAAAACACAAAACAACAACAACAACAACAAAACTGCCTTCATCTCTATCACTTAGGACAGTAACATGCTCCTTTCAGGATTATAAGCCTGTATTCCACCCATATTATTGAAACTTGGTAGACATAAACCCATATGGGAATTAATAGCTGATTCTATCCAAGTCACTCAGGATCCTGAAAAATGACTATTTTGAAGTGGTGAGCTCTGCACCCTGGAAGCGTCAAACTAGGGCTGAGCCTCTCAAGGAGGTTGGGAGGCCAGTCCTTGCCTGGTTATAGTAGATGATTCATAAGATATCTCTCAGTTCTGAGATTTCTCTGCAGATCAGACTTAGGCCCCCCAAAGTGCCTTCAGGTTGCCACAGACTAGGCATTTTCAACATGGGCCAGTGACCCCTTAAAATTTTCATGTGTGTCTATACTGTTGTCTGGGCTGGGATCCCTGGCTTTGAAGAAACTGTCAGGAGTGGGGCGGAGTCAATGCGGGTCATTCTTTCGCCCAGCTCTGTCCACATCACATTCGGTTAGACAGTTTGCTGTTCTCAACCGTTCGCAAGTCTCAGAATCCCCTGGAAGGCTTGTTGAAGCAGACTGTTGGGCTCCACACCTAGAGGTCCTGATTTAGGTGGGGACTGGATATTTTTCATTTTTATGCAATGGTTTCTTTTTCTTTGTAGTATAGTGGTTTCCAGGTGCTGCTGCTGCCTCTGGTCTGGGACCACACTTTGGGAACCCCTGGCTTTTATCAAGACACTTTACTGATCAAAAAAGGTGGCATGGCCCTCCTTGCCCATGCTGGATCTTGCCCCTCCAGCTAACCCCATGTTTCCCCCTTTAGCCCCTAGCAATTCAATCCTCCCCCTGGCCCTCTAACCCCTGCAGCAAATCCCAACTCAGCTGTCCAAGTGTCTAAAAATACTCTCCCTCAGAGACAGCTGAGGGGCTTGAGCTATTTTCTGAGGGTAAGAAGAGTTAGCACTTTAGAATTAACTTCAGTGTAAAGACCAACAGCCTCTGTAGGAATCCTGTCCTTGGCTTCCTAGCTTTACTGCTTAAAGTAGCCCCAGTACTGAGTGTTTTCAAGGGTCTAACTCATGAAAAACCAAATGGTTAGGTATGTGTCTGTCTGGGGTGGTAAGTAACTTACCTTTTTTGGTATTGTTCTAGAGTGGATACTGGTTAAAATTACTCCAGGAAGCTTAGGCCTGGTTCCAGACACATGGAAAATAGATTTCATGTGCCAGCTGAGCCGATCCCTTCAGCAGACTTGTCTCCTTCCTTCGGGTTGCTTGACTCTAAGGCCCCCATAGATGGCTCTTTTTTTTTTCTTTTCTTTCCTCCTCCTCCTCCTCCTTCTTCCTACTGGTGTTCGGACCCAGGGCCTCACGCATGCTAAAGCATTACTCTATCACTGAGCTTCATCCCTGGTCCTATGCCCCACTCCCAGTCCTGTGTATTCCAGGTCTTAAGACTTCAGCCCCACATGAAAGGCACAAGATTCCAAGGCCTTTTGGGGGTAGGGTGAGGGTGTGGGAAGAGCTGAGCTCCAGCAGGGTTGCTTTTTAGTCCTGGGAGACCAAGGTAGCCTAGGGATATAGGGATTTGGGAAGGAAGTCCCTTTTTCCTGGTGAGGACCTATCCTCCACTAGAGCATCAGAAATATGGAGATGCTCAAAAATGCCCGTTATACATGGATGATAACCTTTACATGTTTGGGGGCTTCTGGTTCCTCATCCGTGAATGAATGGATGGGATTTAGGGATTTCCAGGTTTTTTTTTTTTTTCCCCATTCTGCAACTTAGAAGTCTGGCATCATGAGCTTTAAAACCAGTTCCTGGTTTAAAGGCAGCAGTAGGGAACTCAGAGTACTAGATCCACCAGGCACTCCAGAACTTTCATTGGACTGAGTCTAAAATGTGCTTCCTGTTTCTCCACTTGCTAGTGAGAAACTTCCGCTCCATGAGGTGGGCAATTCACTTGCCTGTTCAATGTTGCACCTCCAACACGCTCCCCAACTCCACAGTGCCCAGAGCACAATAGGGGTGCAGCGCTTGGAGAATTAATGCATAGAGGCCTCCAGGGGGAGCCCAAGATCTGCAGCTAGCTCCCTCAAGGGCTTCTTGGTGATGGTTGGTGATGGTTGGAACACAAAGGTGTCCCTTACCTCTCTACTTGCACCCCCCAATTCTAGCCTTCACACAGTACAGTGGTCCCTTGCTTCCCACAGAGTGCTGAAATGTTGCTTAGGTCACCAGCTCTAGGAGGGGGAGTTCTTGTGCAGGGTTTTAAATGCAAAGTACACTACACACACCAGAGACTACTGAGGATGAGGGCTCTCTACAAATGCTCTATTTTTTTCCCCAGGAGTCTGTGGGCCTTTGGGGGCTTCTATTCTGGTATGAGAAGGCTGCTGCTGATGGTGGGGTGCCCTGGGACAAAGACTTGTTGTTGGTTCTTGTTCCCCTTTCTGGAATCTGTCTTTTCTTCCTTGTATGCAAGGAAGGGAGATAGGAGATCCAACTTTCAGGCCTGGGCTTGGGGAAGCAGGCAGCGTGGGTATTTTGGCTGACTTAGGTTCTGAATTGTCTGGTCCTGCCTCTCAGGTGAAGGAGATTTCTGAAGGACAGCCAGTTCCACTGCAGTCGTGCTTGGGCAGGCAGCCAAAGCCCCAGCTGAGGACTGAGGATCACATGTAACTGTCCCCATTTGTATTGTCTGTGCACGTACTTCCCTAGGGACACAAGGGAAGGGTGATTATTAGGGATATGTTTTGTGTTTCCTCTGGCCCGATACCAGTTATCAATTACATCATGACAGTTTACGCCATCTTCTTTTCAAGCAAAGGCCATCACAAAATGCCATGTCAGCCGGGCACGGTGTTTGCATGCCTGTAATCTCAGCGGCTTGGGAGGCTGAGACAGAAGAATCGCAAGTTCAAAGCCAGCCTCAGCAACATTGAGGTGCTAAGCAACTCAGTGAGACCCTGTCTCTAAGTAAAACACAAAATAGGGCTGGGGATGTGGCCCAGTGGTTGAGTACCCCTGAATTCAATCTCCGTTACCAAAACAAAACAAAAAGATGCCATATCACTGGACTCAAGATGTCAGCATGTGGCTGACATTGTGGCTCTCTTCCTCCCTCAAACCCAAACACTCGGATAATAAACATTCAGATTCAGCTTAATTTAATCTCCTGTGTCACAGTGAATGGTCTGGTATCTAGGTCCTAAGCCAATCAGCATGTGGCACTCCCCTGGCCACAGGAATTGGTTCAGGGGTGGTCCAACTGGCCCAGAGCCTGGAATTGGGTTTAGTGGTTGTAGAAAAAGAACTTTTCACCTGGGGAGCTGCCAGCAGCCATCTTGGGCTGTGAGACAAGTAACAGGGCTGGGGATAGCAGTTCTGTGTGCCTGCCATTCAAGTCATACCCAATACCATCTTTATTGCTTCAGAGTTTGAGTTCAGTATTTACTACTTCAACCAAAGCCTTCTTAGTGAGGTGTCATGATGTCTGTAATAAGCAATGAATGAATGCCACTTTTACTTTAAAGGCTCCATCTCTTTCACTGCCATTACCACCATCCTGACATAGTGGAAACAACCTCACAGCCAGTTTGGGCACCTCATCTGGTATGGTATTTTGCCCCATGTTGAACTCAATTAACAGGACAAAGTTCAGATTTGAGTTGTTCTGTGTCCAAGGAGACCATGACAAGTTACTTTCTCACTTTGGGCTTTTATCTTCGTTTCTGCAAAGAGAGGTAAGTTAGCTGGATGACCTCTGGGGACTGTTTCTGTTAGGAAAGCCACAGTATTAACATAGCATCATTTGGCAGAGATGTTTCCTTTGGGCACCCAGGCTTCTCCCTGAAGCCTGGTTTAGCAAGTCTGGGTGGGACACCTTGCCAAGCTCCCTTCCCTTCTCCAGGAGATTCAGATGTGGTGGTTGGCCCATGGACCATGCTTGCAGGGTGCCTAGGGCTCCATTCCTACATTCTCTTCCTTTTACAGAAAGACACTGATCCAAAGAGAATAAAGAAGATTTTACTTTCTCAGAAAAGCAAGAAACCCAGGCATGGTGGCACATGCCTATAATCCCAGTGGCTCAGGAGACTGAGGTAGGAAGATCACGAGTTCAAAGCCAGTCTCAGCAACTTAGCCAGGCCCTAAGCAATTTAGTGAGACCCTGTCTCTAAATAAAATATTTTAAAAAGGCTGGGGATGTGGCTCAGTGGTTGAGGGCCTCTGGGTTCAATCCCCAGTCTCTCCCCCACCCCCGCCACACCAAAAAACCAAAAACCAAACCAAAACAACAACAACAAACAAACAAAAAACCACACAAAACTCTACTGATTTGTAGAAAAGGCAAAGCACAATTGTCCTGACCTCTGAAGTTAGAGGGGAAAGTACCAGATTAATCTCTGAACAACTCTGTCCTATAACCTTCTTTTCCTCTGCTGAGATGAAGGTTTGGGAGTGAGGAATATCTGCCCTCCACCATCTGAGGACTTCTCTTCTTTGCAAGCAGATGTCATAATACCCTTGAACCCTTGCATAAAAATCAGAATGCTCAGTTCCTACAGATACCAAGGAAAAGCTTCCCTCTTCCTGTAGCTTAGTTTGTTTCTTTTCCCACTGGTTGCCAGGAAGCTCAGAGCTATACCAATGGCAGTGCTGGGGTAAACATCTCTTCTTCATGTCCTAACAGCCATCTCCTAAAATGTGCAGTATTGTTGAGAGGCTTGGAGATGGTATCTAAGAAAATTCTGAACTAGGTACTTCCCA